GTGTCGTGCATCCAGATCCGAGCGCCGCCCTTCCTCAGGTCATGGACACAAGAGGTCAGGCCAGGTTTCTCCACGCCAGGTGAAGCACAAAAGCCGTCACCATGCTCGCCAAAGCATGGACAGCCGCTCACCGCGCGTTCCCCGACCATTACCGTGCTAGCGACACTCCTAGGTCCCGTTGCGCAAGCCGACGTGGCCGCAGCCGCAGCCCAACGCGCGCTCATGTGGTCCTGGCACCAGGACCAGGCGGTAATGCGCCACCTGCTCCGCCGATGCTTCCCATGTCTCACCCACAGCAGTCTGGACCATCTGCCTCCTATCAGCCGCAGCAAGTGCCACTACATCATGTGCCACAACCTGCACCATGGACCGTTTACAACACGGCCACCTATGACACACCACCTACACCACCACCTGTTCATCGTGGCAAGCCTTTTCACTCAGGCAACAAGGGCCACCATTCTCAGCTGCAGTCCCGACGCCAGGGTTACCACGCCGCCTGGAACTCAAAAAAGGCAAGAGGCGGCAGCGGCAGCTGACTCCCCACATCGCATTAAGGCCGCAGCCGAGCTGCTACCCGACGAGCAGCCAAAGCTCGACGCAGTGGACGTCGAGGAGCAAGAAAGCCTTGCTCATGAGTTCGCGGCGGCAATCCCTACCATGCCGACGAGTCTTGCTCGCGAACTCTGGCACATGTCATTGGCAGCGGGACTAGCCGCTACCTCCCCTCGCATTGTTCAGATTAAGTCTTGTGGCACGTTTGAGGTTGCTGATTTGTATCAGTGCCACTTTGTCCCAGTGACCACACCACCGGTGCCAACCTTCGGACAAACCGGAGCACATGCACCGGGGTACCGGTACAGCTTTGTTTGGTGTTACGGGACCGACATCCCTACTGCTGCCTCCATCTTCAAAGAGCTCCAAGTTCGTCCCACCATGCCGGGAAATGGAATCAACAAAGGTTCCGAAGTTGACTTCCCTGCCACTGCCTTTTATTGCCAAGCTGCAGTGGGCGAATTTGATCTAAATACGATGCAACAGGCGGATGCCAAAGAACTTCGCATTTCAAAAGGTCTCCAGGGCATGCTCATCATGGGCGAATGCCACACAGTGCAGCCACATCTGAGGGTGTCCTGGTCGGACACCGTGGAGGAAGCTCGACTTTGTTTTCGTCGAGGAGCTATCCGCGCTAAGGATCGCTGGGCCTTCAATGCCGCCTTTACCCGAATTCGGGGATTTGTGGTACCCCTTCCTTTGTGAAGGATCTTCGAGTCGCCTGCACAAACAAAGCATTGATAGTGTCATGCCGATGTGTTGCCCATCTTGCTTGAATTTTCTAACTAGTTTGCTCAACTTAGTGTGTCGAATTTATTTTGGTTTCACGCTCTCGATTCACAACATGGATCGCAGTCGCACTCCTCCACCACGCATGGGTTTTCACTTCCAGCCTCGCCAACCTGGCACCTGGGAGCCCTCCACGTCCTTTCCTCGCGCCCAATCATCTTCCTTTGCAACATGGGCACTGGCCTACGGCGCCGGCCCACAACACTGTTATGCCACTGCGTCCCACCTTGGGGTCCATGCCAGGACTCGCCAAAACCATCTTCCCCTGCAACACTCATGCATCGTATCCGGGAGCACCCGGGAGCCAAGCCAAAGCAACTGCAGTTGAACCCATGGTAACTGCACGTCATACTCCAAACCACCTACCCACATCGCAATCGCCTATTGCATCCAGCGACCCTGGCGTAGCAGCTCCACAGCCTCCCTTGACTTTGTCCGTACCCGATAACTGGCTGCAGGACAGTGATTACCTTGACACCCGCCGCAGTATCGGGAACCTCAGCTGTCCTCGTCATGTTGTGTCATCCTCTTGAGCGCGAGAGAAGGGAATCGCTGGCATTCCTCACTTTCTGTGCCAGGGTTGGAACAGCTATTGGCTTCGATGGATCGCCAGTGGCAAGGAGGCCTACTTCGTCGTGGCCCAAACCAAAGCTGAGCTGGTCCTTGCTGGCGAATTATTGTCACAAACACGGGCTCAAGGTCTTGCCATCGATGCTGCCGCCACCAACCATGCGGTACAAACACAAACTTCCCAAGCCAAGAATGTGGCTGTGAAAGCCTTAGCCCAATTCCTTGTTGATCAAGTGAAACATAAGATTCCTACGGAAACAGATTGTGAATCCCAGGCCAGAATTCAGCATTCCCCCTGGCCCTTCTTCTCCCCCTCCTACCCGTGCGAATAATGTCGACCGTTCTCCCCTTGGATCACCTGCAGAAACAGGACTACAAAGTTCTGCCGTCAAAGCTCCTCAAGTCCCTGTCCCTGCCCTCGCAGGTCAAAATCTGAAACAGTTGCCTTTTTTACAGTTCAGCCCAGGCTCCAACACCGGCACTCCTGGTAAGCCTGACCCTTCCTCCATTTTGCAGCCACCACAAGAAGGCTCGCCATGGCTTGCTTCTCACCTTCCTGCCAAGTGCCGCGACAGGGAGCTTAAAGCCTGGATCAACTCCTTGTCCCTGAGCGATCGCAAGAAGTCCGGGCTGCAGGATTGGTTAAAACAAGTTGAAGACTGGGTAGAATCCCAGGATGCCGACGACTTCCTAACAAAAATCCGCAGGACTGCAGTTATTTGGGGAGTTCCCCCGGGCACAGTTACGAAATTACAGAAGCAGCCTCTGGGCAAGCTCATTGCAGTTGGCTCCTACAGGCAAACGCAAGCCGCCGCCAAAGCTTTTCGATGTCTCATCGGCGGCATTGCCCCCGATCTTTTACACTTGGAGATTTCCAGCTGCAGCGTGGCCCAGTGGTGCAGCGCACGGATCGCCACACATGAAGCATACCGGACCCTACCCGACACCCATGTGCTGAAAGGTGTTTTCCGTGCCCTGGGTATCCTACCAGGCTACCCCAGCTTCCAACAATTTTGCGCCGAGTCAGTTTTGTACCTTCGCTTCTGTCCTGTGAAGAAGCACGCCAACCTTTTCTACGTGGGCAGCACGGAGAAATCCGTGATGGTCCGAGAGCACACCAGGTACGTACCGCAAGTACAAACAGGTGCTCGAAGACAAGCTTGTGTCGGCAGAACTTTCCATACGGTTTTGGGCGCATCACCGTAATTTTTGGGACTGGGGTGTGATCCCCGTATCAGACACTGTGGCTAGCGAAGTCCTCCGAGGGCGCGAACAGGCCCTCACTGCAACCGCCGCTTAACTTCCCTTTCATCACCCGGTGGTTCTGCCCGCGTCGTGGCATCATTAAGCCACCTGACGCCACATATGCCCAAAAGATTGGCCTTTTGCGCTTATGGCGCAAAGGTCGAAAGAAACAGTTATCTGCCACAGGCCGTGGACTACCAGCCCCCATGTTTGCCATTTTCGAGAAGCCTTCTTTTCGCACCAAAGAGGCAACATGGGTACTGCTTACCCAATTGGGAAGCAACACTGAGGCCCACTTCACGGCAGCCAAACGCTTGAGGGGAAATGAGTTCAGTTATCCCGCGTTATGTGCCCTGCGTCGCATGGCCAAACACCTGCCTGCATACATGGCACCCAACGCGCTACGCGCTATCACCTCTGCTCTCAAATTTCGAGGTTTCCTCCCTCCCAAGGGACACCGACCATTGCGAGTACCCTTCCTTTCTCATGAAACCTATCGCAAGGACCTCAGAGCATGTATGAGGGCCTATATCTCTGACTGCATTCATGCAGTCACTCCCTTTCATGTGCCGAAGACTACGGTGGTTTTCCCTCGCCACCCAAGGATTGCACAGGTGTTGCGCAATCATCAAGACGCATTGAAGCAGTGGGCTGCACGAAGGGAGCCCACGTGCAAGTGTGACATCATTCGAAAGTTTGCTCCCAAGGCCCCCATGTTTGGTGGCCACATCGCTGCTAAGGGTGCGGAGGTTACTAACTCCCTCAACACCCTTGAGAAGCTGCCAGCGGATCCACCACTGACACTTTCTTTCCTGACAAAGAACAACTCCGGATTTAGTTTACCGAGGGATGGTCAAACTGGTGCAGAACCAATGGCTTGCCAGGCCCACCACGAGACGTCACTCTCGTTTTTCAACAGATTTGGGACAAACATCTAAATGAGAAGCCGTCGACAGTCTAAAAACCAAGACACGTGGTGCCGTTTGGCGCACCGAGGATCACCGTCCTCGTGCTGCAGTTTGTTTTTGCCCCACCTTGTATCACCGAATGCTCGATGACGCCTTCGGTAACCAGCAAGTGTTCCAAGAAGTTCCTCGCGTGTTCGAGGAACAACTCAAAAAGGTCCAAAAAGCAGCGAAACGAGACCTTCGCCGCCGCTATCCGTGGGCCTTTCGACGTACCCCCGTAGTCCCACAGGCGTATGCGTTGCCAAATCGCAAGAAAGATTTTGCATCGGGACAACCGATTGTCTCGTTCGTCGATGCTTTTATGAGACCTTTGCTGGAGGCTACCTCCAGACTACTACATAGACTCTGCAGCCTTGCCTTCCCTCAGGCCTTTTCCAGAGGCGACGTGTACGAACTTCTCAGTCAGGTTCGCGACTTTTTCCACTCCGGCACCACTGCACAGCTGCGTTGCCGAAATCAGGACCTGGCTGGGGTTTTCAACTCCATTTCACAGTCTCAATTCCTACAGGCGTGGCGAATCACACTCGAGTTTTACCGACAGCGACATGGTGTTCAACCGGACACCACGTTTTCGGTTAATGTGAAAGAACATGCTCAGCAATTCCGAGTGTTTCGTGGCAAACGCCGCGCACTGCCGAGCACGAGCTTCCCGGCAGGTCACCATCTGGTGTGAAGACCTGCCAACCATCATCCGGCTGATGAATCTTAACGCAGAACTGGGCCCCCATGAAGAAGACCACAGCGCGGCATCGGCAGCTCAGACGTCCCCGGGAGGGGATACAGAAAGTAAGCGACAGCGGCAACGTCGCTAGGAATCCCAGGTGTCAGGACCGAACCTTCTGCGAAGTTCAGCTCTGACAGAAGCGGCAAACACTAAGCGCTGCGCCGAGGCAGAAGCAGGTTCATGGGCCTGGGCCCAAGCCAAGCGGCACGACCAAGGGTCAGCAGGTCGCGGAGGTCGATGTTCCTTAACGCAGAACCACAATGCATGCTCCCATGACGGTACGCCTGGCGCTCCACATATGCCACAGCGATGCAGTGTGGAAGGGGCTCGACGGGGTCTTTGATCTCGCATCGCCGCGTAAGCGGCCTCGCTCAATGCACCACCCAGGAGGACGCCTCGCTGCTCCGCCGACGCGGTGATGTACAAGGTTTGGGTAGCCTTCGCCTGGTTCGCGTTGTAGCCAGCGTTCATGGCCAGGAGCTCCTCGGAGTCACGGCGAGGCATGTGCAAGAAGCCGTCGACCAACTTCGTGCGCCACGCCTCACGGAGGAGATGTCCAGTCTTCGTGGTGTCCTCCTTCCGGGAGCCTTGAAACCAGCGCACAGATGAAGTACCGAGTTGCGATCATGAAGCCAGCGAGAGCATTCTTTGCCACATAGCTCCATACGTTTGCGCCAGCAGGTCAAGTTCTGGGTCCGCCTCTTTTGTCTTTCAGCGTGAATGCACTCTTGCACTCGGGCTGGTAGCACCTGGAGGTCTGTATCCGGCGGCACACATCCAGGCCATGTAGAATGGACCTTGTTCAGGAGGCGGACGTCGTGTCGGCCAGCAGCCACTCCGCGGTTGTACTCCAAAGCTCGGCCCAAGAAGTTCTCAAGCTGGCGGACTTTGGACGTCGTTGCTCTTGGAGCATTTTGAGCACTGCCCAAAACAGCAACTGGTAAGCCACCGCGGACGCCTGCAACGCGACCAGGAGGACGGCCACGTTCGCCTGCACGACGACGCGCATGTTGAAAAGCAGCCACAGCCCTGTCGCAAAGGGTCTGCCGTTGATCATCCACATCACTGTGTCCGGCCAGGTCTGGTGCAGCAAAAACCTTCAGCGATCCACGCTCGCCATTGATACGTGCTGATACCATCCGGCTTGGCTAAGGAGATAGAGCCTTGCAAGGTCCATGTCGAGGTTCGCCGGTGGGGAAAATGCTCGAGAACATGGAGCATCTTGTGATCACCGCACTTTTCCACACCGAATCTCGTCCGGAGCTGGCGAAGGCCATCGTTGGTGATGCCCCAATCAATCGCCCGCTCACCCTGCCATCGGCTAGGTGTGAGCGCCCCTTGTTCGTCGACAGGCGCAAGAATAGGCATCCCGGCTGCATAGGGCGCTTCCTCAGGCAATAGATTGTGATCGGCTAAGCGCAACCATGTGGCGCCAGCTGCAGTCGTCGCCGTCGCGATTGTCGTGAGCTCGGCATCGAAGAGGTCGTGATCTTTGGTAGGTCGCCTCCAAGCCACCGTCACTATCGATGCTCCCGTGCGCAAGTTAATCAACTCACCCTGCTCACCCCACCATTGATAGTCCTCCGAACAGGGCACATCTTCGCTCACCAGAGCAAGGATGCCGCCCGCGTAGATGGGGCAGCCTTTCTGCGTGTGATGTCCATCCTTCTCGTGAACAACCCAAGCACGGTATCCCAGCTTTCTCGCCCGATTCACTAGCACGGCTCGGTCGTGAGCCCCGGCTCTGATCTCGGCCATGGCAAAAACTTGTGGTCGATGTTCCAGGTCCAAGCCCTCCAAATAGCACAGTGCATCATACGCATTGGAGAGCCCCCCGACATTCACAAAGCAAAGGTGCAAGTTTTGTCGCAGCGTTTTGGCGGGAATGTGCTCCTGCGGCGCCACGTTCATGTCCATGACTGGAGGGCCCGGGTTCGGATGGATGCGCTCGCCGTCCTCAAACTCAAGAGCCATGACGCGGTGCCAGCGAACCTTTGTAAGGGGTGGTAGTTTACTTTGCATGCGAAGCGGAGCATCACCGCACGGATAAAGCTTGCAACTCGAGACCGCCGTCTGCGACCACGTACTCGATGGACCCGGGTTCGGGTGAATCCTCTCGCCGTCTTCGACTTCAAGGACCATCGTGCGAAACCATTCCACCTTCTGCAGCGGAACCACTCGACGCCGGTAGGCTTTGCACTTCAAAGTCGCACTGTGTTCCAACTCCAGCAGCTCAAGAATGCGGAGATGGAAGAAACGAATCCACTGCACGCGCAGCTGTGGGTGCGCCAGCCTCGTCGTGCCCCACCATGCTGCTTGCTTCTTCAGGAAGAGCTGTCTGGCCCGCGCGATGCTCGCATCATCACCGCACTTCTCGGTGTGACACGCCTGCGATATGGTTGATGCCAGACTTGGCCGCACCGTCGGCAACCCCAACATCTGGTAGGACGGACTCGCTGGAGCTTCGTGCGTGTAGAAGACAGCGAGCGAGGCCACGGTGTCATCTCGACCATATGGATGTCAGCATCTTTGGCCGTCGCGTCAGCGCATTTCTCAGCGAAAGCTTCAGCGGCCTCGGTGGGTGCAAAGATGAAGACACCCTGTTGCGCCTGTTCGGCACGGAGCCGGAGGTAATTAAGCCATGGTGTCTTAGCTGCGCCTGGGCACTGCTGGAGATGCGCCGCAGAAGCCTTGACGACGCCCTTCTGCGAACCATCGCCTTTCAGGAAACCATGCTTGCATTGGGCACAACGCCAAGCAAGAGTGCCTGCGGACGGTGGCACTAACTTGGGCCAGTGCGACAGGGATCGTGTCCCTGAAAATTCGGATGCTGAGGTGCCCTTGTGGTGGTTAGTGATGTGGGCAAGCCTGTCATAGTCGAGTGCTAAGCTATTGACCGCGAAAACGCGCTTGCGACAGAGGTCGCAATCCCACAACAAGACATCGCCGACTCGAGCAGTCATGCGCGGCGAGCCAGCAGGAGTGTGTCTTTTGGAAGCTGCGGCATGTGCGGTGGGGTTATGCTCCCATCTGATGCCACCATATCGCTCCGGCTCTGCTTGCTCATGCTTGTCACCAGGTGTTGGTGCTTTGGAGTTGGAGCCCATGGAAGCATTAGGACGGGTCGCCGAATGCTTTCTCAGATTGTCGGCAGTGAGCTGCTCCTTGTTAGAGGCCGTCTTGTCGACAACATCCTTTCTGCGCGGCCGCCTGATCTCGGCATCCGGGTGTTTCACAGCTGATCTCCGACGCGAGGTGGTGAGCTCAGAGGACGTACGCTTGCTCGAAGCAGATCCAGTAGATGCCCGGTCTCTCCGCGAAAATTCAGAGTAAGTGATGCTCCGCGCGCGCTTAGTCGGCTGCGTTCCCTCAACGTCGGTTGCTCGCTTGCTTGACCGTGCATCTTCGCTTCCAGCTGCCGTGTCAAAGTCGGACAAGGCAAGGCTGGCGGGACCACCTCCATTGAGCCTCGGGCCAGACGCATGATCAAACCGTTTAGCTCGCTGCATGAGCTGCTCCACCAGCGTACCATGGTTGTCCGCCTGGAGCTGTTCGAAAGTGACCGGTTGAGCATCATCTTCGTGTTTCCAAAACCATACTTCACCCGCTTGGTCAAGGACGAGGATGGACTTCTGCATGCTCACCGAAAAGGCGCCGATCTCAAGTGAGCCGAGCCAGGTGCCTTGTTGTCGCGTCAAAGAAAGATAGGTCTCAAAATCATCGATGGGACCAGCATCTTTTCCCGGACCCAAGCCGTCCCACTGAATTGAGTATTCGTCTTTGTGCCTGTCCAGAAAAGCTGCAACAAACTGGCGAAGCTTGCGTCCTGAGTAGCCCTTGGCTCGTGGAACCAGCTGGGAAAATGAACTTGCCAGGGCCTCCACCAAACAATCTCCCTTCCCAGTGTTAGGGATGCGGCGCGCGCCCGTCGGGAAAAACGGTTCGCCAGGATTCTCACGAAGTGTGTGCATCTTGGCGCGCTTCTGCTCATGGTCCACCTCGAGGTCGTCGAGGATCTCGTCACCCACATCGAGATTGGCAGTGCCGTCGTTGTCCGCAGTCTCGTTGTCGCCGGCAGGTCGTTTCGCTGCAACTTTAGGTGTGGCGGCCTTGAGGCTCCCGTAGAAAGTCTGGGTCTCGGCCTGGGTCGTCGCATACGTCACCTTCTGCTCGCGGGGGAGTTGCCATGCTTGAGCGTGTTGGCGTTGTCTGGCAGCCGCTTTGGTAGCACGCAACTCACGAGTGCCCATTTCTGACTGCACGAAGGCCGACACGAAGCTCTTGTTGTCCGTGCGCGTAGCCCTGAACTTCCACACAGAGCCTGGCCGAGCCCAGACTTTTTCCTCAACGACGACGCCTGCATCACGTCGTCGGGGTCGCATTGTTCCGGCACACGGTCCATGGTCCACAGCGCTGGTCTTGTGTGGAGTCGAGGGTCGCCGGCGGAAACACGGAGGCCGAGCTGATGCCTGCCAGCCACTACACCCTGACTTTCCTGCCGTCTTGCCCTTTCAGCGTATTGAGCCCAAGTCTCGTTCTCTTGCCATGGCGACCAAGCGATTTCCAATTGGTCAATCGTCTCCTCGGAAACAC